CCCAAGGACAATTACCCCCTGGAAATTTACCCCCCGGAGAATTACCCCCCGAGGACAATTACCCCCCAAGGACAATTACCCCCCGGAAAATTACCCCCCGGAGAATTACCCCCGAGGACAATCACCCCCCAAGGACAATTACCCCCCGGAAAATTACCCCCCGGAGAATTACCCCCCGAGGACAACTACCCCCGAGGACAATTACCCCCCGAGGACAATTACCCCCAGAGGACAATTACCCCCGAGGACAACTACCCCCGAGGACAATTACCGCCCGAGGACAACTACCCCCCCGAGGACAATTACCCCCCCCCCCCCGCCGCCCTCGAAACACCATTACCGCGGCCCGAGGACAATCACACCCAGGGAATTTGTAGCACTGTGACGTATAATGCGAGCTCCTCTTTAAATTGCTATTTAGAGAAAATGTCATGAACTTTCATTTTCTTAGTTATTTATGACGGAATAGTTTTGTTTCGTACAGGGGTTGTGTATAAATTATATTTATATTCGTAGCTCACATTCAAAGCCCTCGTACCCATCTGCAAAATCTTTTTGCTTGACGTACATGTATCCTCCTAGGAGGAGATTTCACCCACCCCTCTCGCTCTGTATCCATTCCACCTTTGTGAAGTTTGACTTAATATGCCACGTGTATTGAATCAAATTCAATTGCCAGAAGACGCATGTATCAAATCAAATTCAATTGCCAGAAGACGCATGTATCAAATCAAAGTACGGAATTTACATTTCTTAGAAATTTAACAATACATTGCGCGCAGATGAGTACGCGTTAGTACAGCTAGTCTCCCCCGAAATGACCCAACAAAGAAATTAGGATGTAAGATATCATTGTTTATGCATCCTCTGTAACTTTTCTAATCAGCTGATCGTATATTTGTCTTTGTATGTATAATGGGCCCTCATCCATGATCTATTCCAAAATTAAGGTTCTCTTCATGTTTATAAATGTAATGTAATATATATATATATATATATATTTCTGTTGTCATGGTGAACTAAAATATGTTTTCTTGTACTGTAATTTATTTTGAAATAAAAATTGCCTTCAACTTAAATATATGGTATGTACGGTGCCATATTAAAATAAAATAAGTATCCGCACTTGGGTACATTCATCTCAATGATTTTGTAATTCCAGAGCAGTGTTTTTTCAACTGGGGTGCCGCAAGAGAATGTTAGTTACATGACAATTTTTTTTGGCAAACGTTGATTTTGTGAAAAACAAATATCAGAAACGGGTAGAGTATTTATTTTCATGAGAAAATAAAATGTAAACAAATAATAAAATGTCTTTCTTCCTCGCTCGCTGACAATATTTTGCGAATATATATCTTTTATTTCGACATTACATTGTTACCACACTCATCACAATTATAAACATGATGAATCAAGGCAACGAGAGGCCCGAATATCCTCATATTCGTGTATCAAGGTCATGACCGAATATTTCACTTTATATTCGTGTGCATTCGGCGGTGAGGCGCCCGCATACCTTAAATCTGTGCTAGTGTGTTGATTACAACATTATGTTTTACCATTTTGAAAATGTCTTGTCCTTGTTTTTCTTGCTCGTTCACTAAATCAAGAAACAAATGTGCCCATACGTGTGTACATAGCACTTGACGAGTGCCAGAGTGATGCAAAATAAATAGTTTGTGAAGAATTTAAGATTGGGCGAAACTTTTCATTTCTTAAGAGGGCATTGTGTCGAACAAAAAGTTGAAATAACGCTGCACAAGAGAAATCCTTCGTAGAAAACAGCAACCACAGTGTTGTTACATACATTATAGTTAAAGAAAAATGTGTAATAATGAGGAAGATCACGCGCAAGTATTTGAACGAATGTGGGTTCATGCACGGGATTTTATGGGCTCGTAGCCTTCACAGCATCTCTCAACGTGTCAAATCGTCTTTTGCTATTGAATCCTGATTGTCCCCCGGGGGGGGGGGGGGATCGTCCTCGGGGGCGGGTAATTGTCCTCGTGGGGTAATTCATCAAGGGGTAGTTTTCCGGGGGGTAATTGTCCTTGGGGGTAATTGTCCTCGGGGGGAGTTGTCCTCGGGGGGGTAATTGTCCTCGGGGGTAGTTGTCCTCGGGGGGTAATTATCCGGGGGGTAATTTTCCAGGGGTAATTGTCCTTGGGGGGTAATTGTCCTCGGGGGGTAATTCTCCGGGGGGTAATTTTCCGGGGGGTAATTGTCCTTAGGGGGTTATTGTCCTCGGGGGGTAATTCTCCGGGGGGTAATTCTCCGGGGGGTAATTGTCCTTGGGGGGTAGTTTTCCGGGGGGTAACTTTCCGGGGGGTGATTGCCCAGGGGGTAATTGTCCTAGAACCGTATAAAAGGGCAATAATGTCCTCGCTAGTAAACAACACTTTAACATAACATTTCTGCTTTTTCCATTAAATCATCAAACATATAATCTTCAGTACAACCCATTATTCTTGATTAGATAACTTACATACAAATAATATCCCAAAAATAAATATGATAATTGCACCAACATGATTTAAATATGTAATTTATGCTCATTTTCCTATATTTAGTAATTGCTAAATCAACGATGCACCATATTGCTATAGCGCATGCGCGTATGCGCGCACAACAGGAAATGCTTAACCTTCATCCAATACTAAAACACTGATTTGTTACAGTATAGATAATCAGTGATATACAACAAAGCAGCGCAGTACTAAAAACATCATTCAGAACAGTGTCAGTGGTGTTTATTTATATAGGCCTACATTATATCAAAATCTACAATGTAAAGAAAAGATTAGTATACAATGCCATGCACATAAATTCAAACACGCGGAACTACTGTTTTTACTGCTACTTCATACACTTACTCTAAAATACTATCAAACTAAATACATGCTACAATTTCACTTTTTAATGATAATATTGTTTATATTTCTTTAGTACTATTTCAACAGGGTTTATATTTAACAATAAATTGAATAATGATTCTAATTCAAAGTGTCCTATCCCTAAATCTGCGCACCTGTGTCGCTGTTGGTAGATCAAAGTAGACTTCTAGGTCAAATACAACTCAATTTTAAATCAAATCAAATCAGTAATTGAGTATTAATGCAAACATAAGCATGTTTTGTACATATCATTTAACATGGACGTTTTTCTAAGACACTGTATCAATTTTAACTGAAAATTTCTATTGGGAAACTCATCATTGTCACATTAACTCAGATACACAATGTTACAAGTTTGCTACAACTATAATTTGACGTGAGTTTGTGCATGCATGTGCGAGTGTGTGTGAACACCATAATATAATGATTGAGATAATCATGAGATTTAATTATACATGCAGTTAAAAGCTTCCTAATAGTAGGCCTGATTCCACCTACTTTCGTGTTCTAATTCTTGTGATAAAATTTCAAACTCCTTTAGCAATCGGACCTTTTGAATAAAGTTCATTTGTATTTGAATTTCATTTGTATATGAAATTTTAAAGATGTAAACATTAAAATACAGCGATTATGGATATGCAAAACAAATTCATTTTTGCTACTCAATGTGATTGGAAAATAATGGTTATTCTTTGTAATGAACAAGATGATAGTACAGGTCTAACATTAATGCTTTCTCGGTTGATATCTTTATTATCTATTTTTTCATCTCTGTTTTATTTGAAAATTATTTCATGTATTTCGTAGAAGATGACGTCAGAGGTCATTGTTCCGTTGTGCTTAGTAACCGATGCAGATATCGGAGGCATCATAACCAGGAATGTCACCTGTAAAGATAGAGACAAAATGTGATACTGGATTAAGCTTTATGTCGTTTTTTTCTGTTATTAGATTTCATTACAAAGTATAGACCCTGAGGATGGGGGGGGGGGGTCATAACGCTGCCTGGTACGTATAATTATGTAGCCCCTTGTACATAGAAGTACTGGAATTTTCATTGGGTCAAACCACGCATCCCCGGCCCCCCCCCCCTCCCCCCTCAGTACCTCTCATGAGGGCGTTTTACTAAGATGAACACAGGCACAGCCAGAGTTATCATGCGGGGAGTCGAGGTAAAGCACAAAACGACAAACTAACACGGATTTGCTTGATTGGTACAGCGTTTTAAATGTTCCAGCGACAAAATTAATGTCAAATCAATTGAATTGAAACTCAAACCGCATACCCCCCCCCCCCCCCCCCCCTCCTCCTGTCCATTACACAAATTCTTACAGCTATAAGCAACTTACGAATTCATCAGTCATTCACAATGAAAACATTAACAAATAATTATTCAATGAAAATTATGATAAAATCAAATCATCTTACCATGCTCGTCGACGATATTCTGACAGATCGTGTCGTAACGGCTGGTCCCGACGAGTCTACTGAATGCATCGTCCCACCAGCGGACGAATTCTTTGTTAGCCTTTGAAGTCATCATACTTCCACCACCCGCTACGCAGATATTCGGAAAGTCCGCGGGAGAAATAGTTTCCAGGGCAGCGTCAAGTTGGGGAAGTCGGGCACTGAATGCGACGTCGACCTTTAAAGCAAAAATGCAAGATAAATGTTGTGTTAATTGACTGATTGCTAATTTTAAAGTGCAAATAAAGCAAGTATATCTATGCTTTTGATTTGGGAGAATGTGGATTCAAGTCTTTATAGAAATATATAAGCACACTTAATCTCAGTTAAAAGTGTTTGCGATTGTCTATGCGCATGCATAAATAAATAAATTAAATAAATATAAATAGTAGTGATATACTACCATTCTCAATTCCCAATCAGTCACTATAACATCACTACAAATAGTCACCGCAAGTCACCACAAGTCACCAACATTCACCGATACAATCACTCAATTAACTTAACAATACATCATCACCATGCACCTCCACTAGTCTCCACCAATAACGGTAACCATCACCACCAGTCTCCACTATAAGTAGCCACTCCCACCGGTTGTCATTCATCATGACCATCCCCACAACCATAACACCACCACTACCACCACCACCACCACCAGTCTCCACTACCACCAGTCTCCACCACCACCAGTCGCCACCCCCACCGGTTGTCATTAGCGAGCTTTAGATTTTGACACCGAACGAACTCGACTACGAATTCTTTGTTAGCCTTTGAAGTCATCATACTTCCACCACCCGCTACGCAGATATTCGGAAAGTCCGCGGGAGAAATAGTTTCCAGGGCAGCGTCAAGTTGGGGAAGTCGGGCACTGAATGCGACGTCGACCTTTAAAGCAAAAATGCAAGATAAATGTTGTGTTAATTGACTGATTGCTAATTTTAAAGTGCAAATAAAGCAAGTATATCTATGCTTTTGATTTGGGAGAATGTGGATTCAAGTCTTTATAGAAATATATAAGCACACTTAATCTCAGTTAAAAGTGTTTGCGATTGTCTATGCGCATGCATAAATAAATAAATTAAATAAATATAAATAGTAGTGATATACTACCATTCTCAATTCCCAATCAGTCACTATAACATCACTACAAATAGTCACCGCAAGTCACCACAAGTCACCAACATTCACCGATACAATCACTCAATTAACTTAACAATACATCATCACCATGCACCTCCACTAGTCTCCACCAATAACGGTAACCATCACCACCAGTCTCCACTATAAGTAGCCACTCCCACCGGTTGTCATTCATCATGACCATCCCCACAACCATAACACCACCACTACCACCACCACCACCACCAGTCTCCACTACCACCAGTCTCCACCACCACCAGTCGCCACCCCCACCGGTTGTCATTAGCGAGCTTTAGATTTTGACACCGAACGAACTCGACTACGAGTGACGTCATTATTAAGCTCGTCGTTGAATCTACATTGGGTCTCCTCTTGCTAGCGCTTAAGATCGATTGTCACCCGACGCGGTGCCAATGTTTAATTATGCATGCGCAGTGATGCGCAGTGATACGCAGTGATATGCGCGTGACAAGTTTTCTTTGTTACGTCATAGTTAGTCTGCACAGCTGTTCGAACCTCAGCTGTGCAGAAAACTCCTTAATTTCTTCAAAAAAGTGAAATTAAATAGGTTGAAGTAACGTGATTGATCAAATTCAAAGGTATTTGTTGTTTTCATTGCAGTCACAAATATCTTTTTGAATTATATTCTCAACAGATACTGTTGTCTGATGGCTGGCTTCGGCATTTGTGTCCAGCTCGTAGTCGTTGTGATCACTTCGAGATAAGCCTAAAATTTGCTCGAATCCCGACGGGCTAGAAGCAGGTGGCGCATGCGCAGTTACTCAAAGTGACGTCACTCGTAGTAGAGGTCGTTCGGTGTCGAAAATCTAAAGCTCGCTATTCATCACGACCATCCCCACCATCACCACCACCAGTTTCATCTGTCAACACTATCCCAAATCACCATCACTATTCTTTCACCACCATCATCACTTGTCCACGCCAACTCTACCACCTCCAAACACCCCTACCAGTCAAAACCACCACTACTTTCACACACCCACCACCACCACCACCACCACCACCTCCACCACCACCACCACCACCACCACCACCGCCGCCGCCGCCATCACCACCACCACCACCACCACCACCGCCGCCGCCGCCATCACCACCGTCGCTACCACTCCATTCATCATTACCACCCTCACAACTAACGGGCACTTTCCGTAAGAATGTTTTCTACCGAGACTTGGGAAGAACACATTCTTATGTGTAACGGAGATATCATTGAAACACATCAAATCTATGACACCCATATTGGATGTTTCCATGTTTGAAACCAAAATGAACATACCCTCTTAGACAGATTAAAATGATAAGACTTACATCTCCATTCTGCACGGCGGCGATCAGGTCTTTCGCGGTAACGTAGGTGATCTTTTGGCTATCGGATGGCAGATCTGCTCCCTGTAAGTAGCAAGAGAATGGAAAGAAAAATAGATTTTATTTGAACAAACTAAAATTGAAACTTAAGTAGGTCACTTCGTAAATAGCCCGTGTACAAAATGATCCTCAAAATAATGTCAAGAGAACTGTTAAATATTAAGAAGTCCCGTTTTGTGCATTTTAGAATAACCACTGCAATAGTGATGCTGAGAATAACTTTCGTTTGCCCTCTTGAAAAGAATACTTCCAGTTGTGTTTCACAGAATTTACTGTCATTAAAGTCTGTCAGTGCATAAAAATGATTACATAACTTTCATGAACACGTATCCAGCATTCGTCTCGATGGGTTTTTACACTTTTGTGCAACTAGGAATGTAATTAAATTTCATGCATAGTCTTTGTAAATTGCCTCATTACGAATGATTTTATTCACCTGTTACGAGACATGAAATAATTTATTCAATGGTCAGATTGCGAAAGTTAGATCAGGCGCGGATCCAGGGGGGGGGCCGAGCGGGCCTTGGCCCCCCCCCCCCCCGCAAAAAAAAAAAAAGAGAGAAGAAAGGAAAAGAAGGGAAAGAGAAAGAAGAGAGAAAGGGAAAGAAAGAAGAGGAAGAAGAAAAGAAAAGGGGGGAAGAAGGAGATCGGGGAAGGCGAAAGGGCCTTGCCTCCCAGGCTGTTGACCCCCCCCCCCCCCAATCAAAAAAATAAGAGAGAAGGAAGGAAAGGGAAAGAAAAAAGGAAAAGAGGGGATACTGGCGTACTGATAGGGGGGGGGGGCTTGGGGGAAATCAAATTAAAACGTGGTTTATTTCTAATTCCACAACAGTGGATTACAAATAATGCTGAAATGACATAATTTCCGAGATTTTTCCTCACTTTTTAGTAGATTCCTACATGTCAGGGCCCGAGGTACGGCGGGGATCGGGAGCCCCGAGCCCCCCCTTACTTTTTTGAAAAAGTATATTAAAGAGAAATAAAATAGAATGAGAGCAAGAAAGAAAAAATAGTTAACTGCCAGTGTTGAAAAATAATGAGGCATCAAAATATGCTCATCTGACCGTGATTAATGCCTAAAACCCCTAAGCTTCCGGGGGCTCTGCCCCCTGGATTTCACCTAGGGCCCTACGGCGGGCCCTTAGATGCTCATCTGACGGTAATTTAATGCCTAAAACCCCTGATTTTTTCGGGCTCCGCCCCCTGGACCCCACGCCAAATAGTGACGTGCCAGTCTCACAAAATAATAAGGTATACAAAAAAAAATGCTCATCTGACCTTAATTAAACGCCTAAAACCCCTGAGCTTCCGGGGCCGGCTCCGCCGCCTCGACCCCCCCCCCCAGGGGCCCTAAGACGGCCCCTGATTCAGACAAGGATTACGAGTATAGAGAACGATACAACGCATCGTCTTCTTTCTCTAATAATATAATGAAACGTCAAAGCTTCGCGCAGGAGGGGAGGGGGGGGGGGACTGAATTCAGTCAAGGATTAAGAATCGAGAACGGTACAACGAATCGTCTTCTTTCTCTCATAATCTTATAAAACGTCAAAGCTTCCGCGCTTCGCGCGGGAGGGGGGAACCTGAATTCAGACGAGGATTCAGAGGCGAGAACGGTAATACGAATCTTTAATGATTTAATGAAACGTAAAAGCTTCCGCGCTTCGCGCGGGATGGAGGGGGAACTAAATTCCGATGAGGATTATTTTCGAGAACGGTACAACAAATCGTCTATTTTCTCTAATGATTTAATGAAACGTAAAAGCGTCCGCGCTTCGCGCGGGAGGAGGGGGTTGGGGGAGAATCTAAATTCAGACGAGGATTATTTTCAAAAACGGTACAACGAATCGTCTTCTTTCTCTAATAATTTAAGGAAATTTAAAAGGTTCCGCGCTTCGCACGGGAGGGGGGAACCTAAATTCAGACGAGGATTAAGAGTCGAGAACTCGACAACGAATCGTCTCCTTTCTCTAATAATTTAATAAATCGTAAAATTTTCCGCGCTTTGCGCGGGAGGGGAAAAACTAATTCCGATGAGGATTATTTTCAAGAACGGTACAACGAATCGTCTTCTTTCTCTAATGATTTCATGAAAATTAAAAGCTTCCGCGCTTCGCGCGAGAGGGGGAACCTGAATCCAGACGAGGATTAAGAGTCAAGAACTGTACAGCCAATCGTCTTCTTTCTCTCATAATCTTGTGAAACTTAAAAGCTTCCGCGCTTTGCGCGGGAGGGGGAGGGGGAGTCTGAATTTAGACAAGGATTAAGAATCGAAAACGGTACAACGAATCGTCTTCTTTCTCTAATGATTTAATGAATCGTAAAAGCTTCCGCGCTTCCCACGGAAGGGGGGAACCTAAATTCAGACGAGGATAAAGAGTCGAGAACTCGACAACGAATCGTCTTCTTTCTCTAATAATTTAATAAATCGTAAAATTTTCCGCGCTTCGCGCGGGAGGGGGAAAACTAAATTCAGACGAGAATTATTTTCGAAAACGGTACAACGAATCGTCTTTTTTCTCTAATAATTTAATGAAACGTCAAAGCTTCCGCGTTTCGCGGAGGAGGGAGGGGGAAAATCGCACCTCCCTGCACCGACCCCCCCCCCGCATTACGTCACTGTTGGTCACCATTACGTACCAATATTTGGCTCGCAAAATTTCAAATTTGGGCCCCCCCCCCCCCTAAGAAATCCTGGATCCGCGCCTGAGTTAGATGTAGATGAAACCATGGAGACGATAGAGAGGGATGAATGATTGGGAGGGGAGATAAGGAGAGAGATATATAAGATAACATGATTAGAAAAGGGTTAGGAGAAGAATACAAAAATAAGGGGAGGGGGAGAATCGGGAGGAGGGAGGAAGATGAGAGTAGAAAAAAACGGAACGAAACAGTGAGTCGAAGCATAGAACTATTTGTAATAGGTCCATGGTAGAAGTTAGTTCTTGTATAAAATCTGTACAAGAATAAACATCACGATAATTATGTATCCATACCACGATGGGGAAGGACGAATCGGTGGTGAAACGAGACAGACAAGCCTCATCAGAGAACCACATTTCTAGGAAACCAACTTTGAGTCCTGAAAGATCAGAGTAATCCTGACTGCTTCCACTTTGGGCGTAGAGGGCGACCTTCCCCTTCTGGGAGAATGGTCGTGTGAAGTCGAAGGTTAGAAGACGATCATAGGTTTGGACCCATCCTAAGTTATAATGGAATGTAATAATATACATTTTGATTGTGCAGAAAGGAGTGTTCATTGTTAGTGCATAAAATCTAACATACCCAAATCCTCCTCTTAAAACGATGGTTCAACATAATGTACGATATTTGAAAATTATGATTGTTACCAATATGAAAATTAGTCGTAATGTTGTGTTTGAAAATGTATTTTAACCAAACTCCCTGGAATTATCAATCTTGATTTTCACAACATTTGGGCTTTAAAACTGAAACGACATTTCTATTACCCATGATATAACTTTAAAACAAAACAACAACAAAATGATCACATTAGGCGTTTGATAATTGGACGGCAAACGTTTTTCATACGTCATTAACTTGTGTTTTGCTTTATAGTCTGTTATTGCCTTAAAGTTTCCAAGTTTCCTTTTCCCATTAGAGCTATTTGTAAATATATTTTGACTGCAATGCGTACCTTTATATAATGAAGGTTATTTGGGTAATTTTGATAATCTTTTGCAAAAATTAATGAACTCAAGCATTTCAGAAGATATAAAACATAAACAATCATTAATGAGTATTGATTCTTACCTGTGCATGCGGTGTACCATTTGGCCATCAGACCGACTCCGCCGTGGGCTCTCTCGTTTGATCGGCTGTACCAACAGTTACTGTACAAATCCCATACCAACTCACAGTTCTTGTTGGCTATTTCACAAACTGAAAGTAAAACAGAAATGTCCATACTTTATATTATTATTTGATAATGGAATTGTTCATTTCTATTTCATTTATTTATATATTATAGTACCCTTTTCCCCGCCACCCCCCCCCCCCCCCCCCCACTCAGTGTTAGTTAGGGTACGCATTATGCTTGTTCCCTCTTTTTGAATGCACCCCCTATCTGAGGACTGCCAACATTTCCGAACCCCCCCCCCCCCCTTTCGCGGGCTTTTCGCGGGCTTTTCCTGCCTTGGAGACCCCCCTAAATCATGAAAAATGCTCAATGTACCCCCTAAATTCGAAATAATTTCTCAGGAGTCCAAAGAGATGAGAGGAAAAAAAAGAAAAAAACACCCCCTTTTTAAAGAAATCTCCGGGTGAAAAGTTAATACACCTCTTTTTTTACAATTCTCGGGCCGGACTTTGCCTCACGAAAAGTACCCCTTTACCGGAAATTTTGGTAACACGCATGTGGTCCGTCCGTTCTCGGAGTGGGGGGGGGGGGCCTTTTCAAAGCGAATGTCGCTCTCGCAGGGGGGCCGTGTATGTACAATTAAAAAGACAACAAAAAAACATTACATAAAACATAACAATGAAAATGTAAGCATTAAGAACAAAATATTATGACCCCAGATTCATTTTGTTTAAAACAGGAATAAAGCATTGCTCTTTTAGAAAAAAAAATACTTTAAAATTTGATAGAATGAATATGATTTTGCTTCTCAGAATGCATTTAAAATGGTAAAACTGCAATCATGAGTATTATAAGCTTATCAACTCATTTAATAAACACGAGCGCAAGGACTTTCAAATAATCAACCTTAGGCAATTTCATTAGCCCTGTCCGTCACATATATAAGGGAGTTTACAGATAGCACATGGTACAAATGACCCCAAATATCCACAGATCTTTTACACATGGAGAAGTTCCACTTTGAGCATATTAGAATAATAACTGCCAAAGTCCTAGCTGTGCTTCATGAATACCTTTTATTTGCCCTCTTGAAAAGAATACTTCCACCTGCGTATCATAGAATGTACCGTTGGTGCATACATGAATAATGTTACATAACTTTCATGAGCGCATATCCAATATTCATCTCCTTGGGTTTTTACCTTTTTGGTACAAATGACCTTTATCTGCCCATACGCAGATTGTATCTGTAAACTTCCTTATTGCTATGTAAGAACATTACATTGATAGTCTGAACATGATTTTTACAGGCAGTACAATAGGACATTGAATTCGGATATGAATTAATTTGTTAAAAGTCTTTGTCATCGTGTACGTAGTGATGTTTCAAAGATTATTTTTCACAAGTTATTTTTTTACAAGCTCTGTAATTATTAGGATCTCTGTCCAGTAGTGCCGTGTTTGTGCCATCGAACTGGATCGACCAAATCAATTGATTCATAATATATATTATATGCAATATTTTTTTCCCGTAACATGAGAGTAATTTTAATAGTTTCATATTATTAATTAAATGTAATGTTAACTGTAATTGTATAATTGTTTTAAATGGGGGGCACGCTACAAGAGTCCTATCTCGCACCCCGGGGCAACGTGTCTGACACGGCCGGTTGTAGCAACTACTCCGAAGATCAAGATTACATTGATCTTGATCTAAGGAGACACGAACGAACGGACAAGTTATCTTAAAGGCATAAATAGAATCGAGAGGTTTAAAAAAAAAAGGACAAAAAAGCAAATTAGAAAATTTGCACAAAGAAACAAAATGTCGGAAAGAAGTGATGCTGAATTCTATTTCAGTAAAGGTAATACATTTCATATTATGTCTTTCCGCTATATTACTCTTTCATGCTCGTCTGTTGTGTTGTATCGTACGTGAAATTTGATCACAAACAGCGCTCAAAATACACGGGGGCGATGGGCAATTCGCCCCCGTGAGCTCCATAATCGCCCCCGTCAGGTTGTCCACGGGGGCGATTGCAAAATTAAAAATCGCCCCCGTGGAATTATAAAATAAAGATTATCTTTTCTTATATAACTTTAACACAAAATTGAGTATCAATTTTCAAACCTTAAACTAATGAAATGGAACTTAGATGGCGCTTTCTCTCCCATCTCTATGAGTATTACCGATACAAACAACGGAAGCTCGCAGTGCAGCTAATGCGGCCGTCAGCAGTGGCTATACTGCGCCGGTAGAACCGGTGTGCACGCTGACGCCCAATATCTGCTGGAGCTGGAGACGATCGCGCAAGGACTGAAACATGGAGAAGTTTTTCGTTGTGAAAAGTGTGAATCCTCTGAAACCTGGTTGTTCTAAAAGACCAGCAAATGATGTAACTCGACCAATAAATCAATATTGAGAAGAAGATCAGCAAAGATGTTGCAGGGGCGGATCTAGGCGGTTTAGGGGGTTTAACCCCCCGATCCCCCTTGTGTTGCCTAGTGAAAATGTGATGTGTATAGGAAAACGCTATCATGTAGTAGTAGATGTCAGGAGATGCCAGGAAAACAGTAATAACGGGGGTTCAAAATAGCAACAACAAAAATCGCCTCGCCCCTATGCGGCTCGTGGACGATGCTCCACATCGTATTTGGGTTACCCCCCCCCCCCCCCTTAGCAAAAAGCTTGATCCGCCCCTGTGTTTTGGAAGGATATGGTAAAGCATGTAAATAAGGTTGTTCCGAATAATGAGGAGGACATTATTATGTGCAGAACGGGAAGAAATGGAGAGAATGTCATCACGGGCAGGCGCGGATCCAGCATTTCTTAAGGGGGGGGGGGGGGCAAATTTGAAATTATGCGAGCCAAATATTGGTACCGTACGTAATGGTGACCAGCAGGGCCCTGACGTGTAGGCCCCTAGGCATCTCAATAAGCATTTCTTGCCTGGCTGTAAATTTAGGAATTTGTCATTTTACAACAAACGCGTAAAAAAGTATAATTTACTAAAAATCTCGGAAATTTATGTCATTTCAGCATTATGTGTAATCCACCGTTATGGAATTAGAAATAAACCACGTTTGAATTTTATTTCCCCCGAGCCCCCAATCAGTACGCCAGTGCCCCCCCCCCTGATTTACAATTTGTTGGCAACTGATCTCCCCTACCTTTTTTCTTTCCCTTTCTCTCCTCTTTCCCTTTCCCTTCCCTTCCTTCTCTCTCTTTTAGGTTTGCTGGGGGGGGGGGGGGGGGGGAGGCAAGGTCCTTTCGGCCCCCACCTTTCTCCACACGTTGCTGGCGGGATTAAGCGCAACTGATCTATCTCCCCTTCTTTTCACCCTTTTTTTTTTCTTCTTCTTCCTCTTTTTTGGTCCCTTTTAGCTCTCCTTTTTTCCTTTTCTTTCCTTCTCTCTTTTTTTAGCGAGGGCGGGGGGAGGGAAAGGCCTTTTGCCCCACCCCATCCCGATCCGCAACTGGTTGGCGGGAAAATTGCAACTGATATCCCCCTTCTTTTCTTTACTTCTTCCTCAATTTTACTTCCCTTTATCACCTCTTCAGTGACTGGTCCCTCAGAAACTAGTGCTAAGCCAGTCACAGAGAATTCACGATTTCAACAAAAATAATGCCTGTCAATGCATTGTAAATTTGATTTTTCTTCAAATTTCATTTAAAAATCTTTTCATATTTGATAAATATGGTGCATTGGCATATGGGCTATGGTTGGAGCGTTGAATGCGTTGAACAGCGTCGGCGTATTATGTGGATTTATCATATTCATATTCTGAATATTTTCAGCGAATTGAATAATATTGAAAAGGATGCAATTCATAGTTGTACTCGATAATTCTCACTTAACATATTCTCTCTCTCTCTCTCTCTCTCTCTCTCTCTCTCTCTCTCTCTCTCTCTCTCCCTGTCTTGCATAAAGAAAATATGAAAATAATATTTTGCCTTGATTAAGAAAAATTGAAAATTTTATCAGTATTAAACAGGGAGAAGAACAGGGGAGGAAATTTATCAAAACAAACATTGACGAATCCAATTCAGTGTTCTTTCGTGATGCATAAGAATGAAAGTACATTAAAAGGTGAAATAATAAATTGAAGAGCGGTGATAAATCAATTCTTTGACGTTGTTTGATTGAATAAAAAATAATGAAACAATATGGTCTCAGGGTCATATATCTTCGAATATTAGAAAGTTTCATCCACCAGCGTGTTGTTGAACACTATTTGCAATTTAATTTTAATGCGGTGACTTGTCGGTTACGAGCAGAAGGTCATTTCAGGCTTCTATATTCTATAATACTATCAACAGATATCTGGATAGAGACACTTCGTCATATCAAGCTACGAGAAAGTATATCATCATCTCACAGAATTCTACTCGAACACCGCATCGAAATTCTTTTCACCCTTTTTTTTTCTTCTTCCTCTTTTTTGGTCCCTTTTAGCTCTCCTTTTTTCCTTTTCCTTCCTTCTCTCTCTTTTTTTTTTGAGTTTCATGGGTACCAATCCAATGGAAATTTGTATTAAAACAAGAGCCCCCGCCAGCACTAAAAGAGCCCCGTGAGAAGGCTCACGGGGGCTCTTTTTTGTTGGAAGAGCCCCCGTGGACAAAAATTTATTTTGAGCCCTGATCACAAAGATGTAAAAATTCCTTGGATACCTGCATCGATGATGTCGGCATTGTATCCTTTGATCTGATGTGTTACAGGGTCCCTGAAATAAAAGAAAACAAAAAATGAAGTGGAGAATTGGCTTTGCAAAGAAATCAATGCATTAAGGTAACTACGAAACACATACAAAAAATAGAATTTAAAAAGGTAAAGAAATTGTTAGCAAATATTGCTCGGTATACAGTAGTTCTAGTATAGGGGTCAAAGATATATCTGAATGACTGAAAATCATAATGATGGAAAGACAGAAGCTTTTTTTCTTCTTTTATCCCTCGAAATTAATTGTTTATTCTGTGGGCTGTTGGTCTACTTGGATGTCCAAGTTTATCACGCTTAGTCTGTCATTAAAATTAAATCTGGGGAGTAACTATATTTCCATCTATTTGATTACATCCCAGACCTGCATACTGGGTACAAAATATAGTCACATATCTTTAGAAACGAGTGTTTACTTACAGATATTCCAATCGGTTGTCCTCGTCACCAATCGCGAAGAGCCAAACCTCATCATCAGAAGCTGTAAAAGAGTAACAGAAGAAGATAGAGAGAGAGAGAGAGAGAGAGAGAGAGATAATAAGAAAGAAAGAATGAGAGAGAGAGAAAAAAAAATAATGAGAAAGAGGGACAGAGAGAGATAATGAGAGAGAGAGAGAGAGAGAGAGAATGAGAAAGAGAGAAAGAGAGAGAATGAGAGAGAGATAATGAGAAAGGGAGAATGAGAGAGAGGGAGAGATAATGAGAAAGAGGGAAAGAGAGAGAATGAGAGAGAGAGAAAGAGAGAGAAAGAGGGAGAAAGAGAGAAAGAATGAGAAAGCTGTTAGGAAAAAATCTTTGCAATATTTGATTTATAAATACCTAACAATATTAGGCTATTGTGTCCAACTATATTATTTGGTCAAATCAATTTTATCGCCCAAATTAGAGATTAGAGAAGATTATTATCATAAAATGTAATGCACAATTTGAGTTTGATGCTTGAAATGGGTAGGTCTAATGTTTGTGACACAACTGCAATAATTGTTGCCAATTTGGCAACCCATAGGCCTAATGATCTGTGGAAAATAAACTCAAAATCATGAATAGAATTTCGGTTTGATAAACGACAAATCATACATTTTTTATAACTTTAGTTTCTTATTCATTGTCGTATTGTATCATTGTTATACCAATCAGTCCGTGACTCGTTTGGTTGAACAAAAGTGTTAGTAGGAAATCTTTAAATTGATTGATCATCCCTTCCTGTTGAAGGGAATACAGCATCTAAACTCGAATGCCATACATTTCGTAAGCTGTACCCCAACTCCGACTTGGGTTAAAATAACAATTCATAACATAATCACTGACGATTTAAATAATATGATAACAATACTAATACTAAAGTTGAGGAAATCTTTAAATTGATTGATTATCCCTTTCTGTTGAAGGGAATACAGCATCTAAACTCGAATGCCATAAATGTCGAGAGCTGTACCCCAATTCCGAAGGTAGTAACTTGGATTAAAATAACAAAACATAGCATATTAAATCACTGACGACGTAAATAATATGATAACAATAATAACACAGATTATTTTATTTGGGCCTGCACATGCAAATGCCCGATCTCTCGATGTTATTTTTGTTTTAAGTGATGTAGTTTGCAATAACAGAGTATTTTTGGAGCTGCGCAAGTTGTTTTGTGAGACTTGAGTTTTAACAGTTCTACAATATATGGGGCTTGACCGATCAGTGCTTTATATAGCCGACAATCAACAGAATCTTGAATGATATTCTTTATATTAATACATCAATTTTATCAGTTTCTGAATTTTTCTCCCCTAATTCCTTTTGGCTTAATATATTGCTCGACAAAGTTATAATTTCCGATTTTCATCATACCATTTTTGTTTATGTTTGATTTCCCCCTCAAAATCCTTTGAATATCACTCAAGAACACAGAAAACCTCTTTGTTGGAAAAATCCATTCGACATTCTACCTTTTCTTTTCTATTTTGTTAAATACCGTATATCCAAGACTACAATGAAGTTGACAAGTAATACAAATCAATATGGAAAAAATCAAGAACAAGAAAAACACTTCCTTTGCCTCTCTTTATTAACGTGTGAAAACTCTTTGGACGGGCTGCAATAAATGAAATTCGATGTCTTAATCCTTTTCGAGTTATTCAAATAAAGAAAGTCGATAAATAAAAGCCCATTCTGAGTTTCTTTGATCCAAACACGTTTCCGACTGGTACTGGTTTTTGTATAGAACAAAAAAAAAGGTTGCATACTTTGTGGCTGGCAAGAAATAGTTTCATGTTTTACAAGGGACTAGTCTCCCTACTATTCGCACTATTTCGGATCGATCCGATAAAATAATTGAATGTATACAAAATATATTGTGTGTACTAGTGAAAAGTAACATACGTTGTAGAAATTGAATAATAAATGTTTCATTTAAAAGCATTTTAGTTCTACTTGATTATGATCAAGAAATAATTTTCATAAAACTTATGTTTTGTTCATTATGAACGTTTGATATGGGGTTGCGTGTTTTTGTTTTTGTTTTTGTTTGTTTGTTTGTTTGTTTTTTTTTTTTTTTGGGGGGGGGGGGCGCACTGCATAGTAGAAAGATCACAGCAGGCACACTGTGTATGAGGATAAAACGACCAAGTACTGAGAAACGAAGGGCGGACCTGAGTGAAATCATATGAGTTAAAAGCAATGATTTATTTTCGGACGTCTACTAAGGTTTCACCTTGAAAATAAAGACTATGATCCCTAAGCTTCTTCAACGTGAGAACAAATTAGATCATAAACAACACGATAAAGGGAAATCATACTTAAACATTGTTCAATGTTTAGGTTGGATTAAAACAAAAACGTATGTCTATATTCGCCCGTCAGATCCAAATTCCACCAGGATCACTCTGGTAAACAAGACATATTATTATTATTATTATTATTATTATTATTATTATTATTATTATTATTATTATTATTATTATTATTATTATTATTATTATTATTATTATTATTATTATTATTATTATTATTATTATTATTATTATTATTATTATTATTATTATTATTATTATTATTATTATTATTATTATTATTATTATTATTATTATTATTATTATTATTATTATTATTATTATTATTATTATTATTATTATTATTATTATTATTATTATTATTATTATTATTATTATTATTGCGGAAACCAAGGAGGTAGCGCAAATGACAATTGCCGATGTCTTTTTTTAATTTGATTTGATTTAATGTTCTGAAATAATGTAATGCATAAACGAGGTATAACGGCATAAAAGAAATGTGCTGAGATGACCTTTCGCATTTGCTCCCGTATTCTACTCCATAATGTTTTAAGATCCATAAAATAACATTTGATTCTCTCTATTACATTTTTTTTAATTCATAGATTTTGGAGGTCACACTTTTCACTTTAACTCATTTATTTAGATGTGATTTTGTTTGATTTCTGCTTGTTCCCTCATACTACGCATTCAACAAATGATAGAAAATCACAATCTCCGTCTTATGAAGTAAAATATTCTACCTTAAATATAATTTGGCATTGTAATGAAGGCAAAGATTTTTTTTTTTTTTTTATGGTCAGTTTTTATTCTTTTCTCTCTTGAAACAAATTATAATCATAGTACAAATTACAATCATCATATGTAACACTCACTGCAAATGTGATGACATTATAAATCAGTATAAATTTTTGTCTTACAAACGACTTCAAAGAAAACTTACATAGTTAGTTCCTATACATCATATTCGACACAAAAAATTCATATTTTCAAAGAAAACATATGCAGTTATATAATCCAAAATTTTTGTTTTAACAATGTAGCAACTTATACTTCTTTTATACTGTTGTCCTGAGAAAAAAGTTTTCTCTTTTTGTTAACCCTACCCTACCCGACCTCTCCCTTATCCCCCTCCCCCCCCCCCCTCTTAACCGGTGGACGACTGGCTCTGGGTTCCAATTGTTTGTCTAATACTCAGGTTTTCCCATTTCGAAAAATGAATAGTGAGAGTTCCCCTCATTGCAGCCAATTTCCTTTCTTCTACTTTATCCCCTATTATACTATTCTTTATTTCATTAAAAGAGGGTGGTTTTTTAAGTTCTCTATTTCTATAAATCAGATATTTAACAAGAATTAAAACATGATTCATTAATTGATATTTTCCTTTATTACTCTCCTCTTTCCCATACAGAATTTCCTCCAAACTACAGTTGTGTATTTCAAAGTCTAAAAATCTCGTGCACATTCCCCACACTGATTGTGCAAATTCACAAGTATAGAATAAATGTTTATATGTTTCTTCATCTTTTTCGCAAAATGAGCATAACTTAGTCGAGACAAGACCAAAACGGAAGAGGTGATGGTTTGTATATAATATATTATGTATAAGTTTGAACTGAAACTCTCTTAATCGACTGTTAAGTGTACACTGTCTTAGTCTTAAAAATATGTTTTCTATTTCCTTACAGGAAAAACCATAGTTCCTTCCAATTCTCTCAAAAACCAAAGGTTTAAAATCATCTTTCTTTATTAATTGTACATAAATTTGTTTTGATTTTAGATCAGCTATATTAGTTGTTTTCTTCCCCAAAGTGAAATCAGTTCCAGAATTATTTTTTTCTTCTCCCTTTCTAAAATTATTTTTCCAACAAACTGGTAAACAGGCATAAAAGTGCTTGATCTTTTCAATTTCATTTACTTCAACACCTAAATCGATAAAATGCCTGTCACATTTTAGTTTACCATCGTTTTCCAGAATATGTTTTAATTTGTAAATTCCTTTGTCATACAACCTCTTATCGTATATACAACTTCCTTTATATCGAATAAGTTTATTATTAAAAATTACCACATCACCAATGTCTATACTCCTTATATGTCTTGTATTCACCCAATCTTCTAATAAATCCATATAAAATTGTGGAGCTTTCACTTTTAATAAACTTGGTATATAGTCACATGAAAATATCAAATCTCCACCCACGTGTTCAGTGACAAAGTTAAAATATTGTTTCCATTTCATGTCTTCATCTTTGTTTAGAAGTTTTTGAATCCACATAATTCGCTGCGATTTAACTTGTGCAGAAAAATTTAACATCTTTAACCCCCCTTGCTTATAGTCTAAGAACATGGTGTTTCTATTGATTTTATCTGTTTTTCCTTTCCATATGAAATCAAAAGTTAATTCATCCAGTGAATCATAAACCCATTTTGGAACAGGAGTAAGTGACGCCCGATAAAGAACTTTAGAATAAATGTGCACCTTCAATAGTTGAATCTTACCCATAAGTGTTAAATCTCTTTGCTTCCAAAAATTTAAAAGTGTTTTTATTTTACTTAAGATTTCTTTATAATTTAGATCTTCTTTCTTGTGTTCATCGAGGGAAAAGAAAATCCCTAAAACCTTAAGAAAGTCAACTATTTCGCCAAAAGCAAAATCACAATCTAAACGTTGACATAAACCTAACTTTAATATTTTAGTCTTGTCGTTGTTTATTTTCAGTCCAGAAATTTTTTCGAAATCTGCAAATAATACTTTTAACCTATTAATTGATTTTTTATTGCGAACAAAAATTGTCATATCATCCGCATAAGTTACTAGTTTAGTTTCCTTATCTCCAAAATTAATTCCGTCCACCAAATTATCTATTCGTAATTTGTGTGCCATTACTTCAATACACAAGATAAAGAGGTACGGAGAAAGAGGGTCTCCCTGTCTTACTCCCCTTTCTACTTTGAAATAACCAGTGGACCCTCCTTCAGTTAATACACAACTTAGAGTGTTCGTGTATAAAACTTTAACCCACTTTTGAAAGGATGGACCGAAACCAAATGACGACAGAACTTTTTGAAGAAATTGATGTGAAATTGAGTCAAAAGCTTTTTCGAAGTCTATAGCTAACAAAAAACCAGATAAATTGTAACGGGATGTATGAAAAATAATATCATCTATAATGCGAATGGCCTCACCAATATTCCTCCCTTTCATGTAGCCTACCTGATCTCCCATAATGATCTCATTTAATACTTTCTTGATTCGCTTAGCCAAAATTTTTGTTAAAATTTTATAATCGACATTAAGAAGGGAAATGGGTCTATAATTTTTCAGTGAAAAGGGATCTTTCCCATCTTTAGCGATTAACGTAATTACAGCTTGTTTTTGAGACGATGCTAATTCTCCTAATCTATATGCTTCATTCAAGGCATCTTTAACTAAATCTCCAATATCCGGCCAAAAGGTACGATAGAATTCTGAAGAAAAACCGTCATTTCCAGGTGATTTGTTCTGTTTTAATTCTTGTAAGATTTCTAGGCATTCTTTATTACTTATAGATCCTTCACAGTTTTCTCGAGATTTTTCAGTCAATTTCGGTAAACCTTGAGAGAAACTATTATAACAATTATCCGAGCACTCGTACTCTACTTTACTGTACAACATGCTGTAAAACTTCCGGATTTCTTCAGTTATCCTTTTTTCATCGCAGCAAATAGCACCATCTGAGGTTTTAATTTTTTTAATAGTACTCTTTCTTTTGTTATTTTGCATTAATTGATTGAAATAACGCGAATCCCTTTCTCCGCTTTCGTACCACGAGGCTCGTGATCGAATCCTAATTCCTTCATTTACATAGCTATAAACTTCCTTTAATTTCTTTTTTGTATTTTCCAATTTTTCTAAAGTATCTGCATTAGTGCTTTCCGTCAATTGTTGTTCTAAACATTGTATTTCTTTTTCTAAATCTGTTCTTATTGTTCTTCTTTGATCAGCCAATTTTTTTGAAAATTTTTGTGTAAAGCTCCGAATTTTCATTTTTAAAAAATCCCATAACAACCTTTTGTCTTTTATTTTAGTTTGCAGTTCGTTTTTTAATTGACAAATTTTCTTTTTTAACTCTCTAACATAATCTTCATTTTCACATAAACTATTATTGAATTTCCAATATGACCCTTTTCTTCCATTCGTTTTATTGACTGTTTTGTCAAATAAACGTAAAAATATTGAATGATGATCAGGGGCAACAGATGGAATTATATCGCACTTCATAACCATTTCCTCTAGACATTCTGATATTATCCAGTAATCTAGTCTACTTTGCATAAAGGGATTGTTTTGCATATAAGTGAATTGCCTTTTTAAAGAATGCCTACATCTCCAAATATCCAAAAGCTGCAAATCTTCCATGAATTTTTCAAATTCTCGATTAAATCTTTTCGAAATCCTGTTTGAAGATTTCCCGTTATAATCAAATTCAATGTCCCTAATCATGTTAAAATCACCACCTAATATAACCGGGTAGTTATCTTTATTTAACTTAGCCAGATTATTGCGTAATTTTCGAAGAAATTGCAATTGATCACTCTCAAAATTTCTTGTTGGAAAATACACATTGCCTAAAATCAACCTAACACCTTGAAACTTACAGTCTATAAAAATATATCTACCCTCACTGTCTTTTAAGACTTGCAATATCTCAATATCTATCCTCGGCGCAATCAAAACGAGAACTCCTTTACTGTGATTAGAACCATGACTAAAATAAGTAGAACCCTCCCACATTGAAGCCCACTTGTCCTCACAATCGCTAGTACTAAATGTTTCTTGTAGGAAAACAATGTCCGCCCCTTTATCTTTACACCAGAAAAATATGCGTTCCCTTTTATCTCTGTCCCTGATCCCTTTCACGTTGAGGGAGAACAATTTACAATTAATCAGAACATCCATAACCTATCACACACAAGAAAATTTAACCCAGTCCCAGAGCCAATCCCCCACCTTAAAGGACCCCACGAAAAGCAAGAACGAAACCCCGTCATCTGGGAAAGAAACTGATACATGTAAGGCATGCAATATTGCAGCTCTCCCGCCCCACCCCTCCCACTCTAAAAATTTCTATTTAAAGGTAACATTCCCGAAAATAAGGCTATAAAGGATTATGTACCCTCTCCACATTGGTACACCTGAATTGGTACACCTGAATCGATCTAATACGATAAATAAATTAGACGGGCTGCAATTTAGGAATAAGCTAAACTCGTTGCAATAGTACGACCATTTTAAAATTATCAGTAACTGACGAATTATGTTTTAATGGGTCTATGGTTGTCATGACAACAAGTTCAATGCGACAATGACAAGGTGACGGTATAAAAAAAAAGACGACAGCTAATTATCAAGTTAAGATCGACTTATGATACATAACATTATTCATAAAACTTAGAAAGGGTGTCTCAACCAATATATCGAAGATATAATACGGAATAGTCCGCAATACAAACTGAACTCTTACTGTAAATATAATAACAATAAAACACATTAAACTATTATATCAACTTTTGTAAAATAAATTCAATGCTAAACTATAGCATTCACACATTTAAACCTTGTATGTATTTCAGAAATAAAGTTTTTAAAATATATATTTGACATTTTCTATTGATAACACACAACGAATGATAAAAACCATAATAGTTTCAACATACGTGGATTCTTCCTATATGTTAAAGTGTTCATGTTAACTTGAAAACATGAAATTGAAGCGATTACATTTTAGAAACCATAGCCGGCCCGGTACCAAAGCCAAGGAAAACATGATCAAATTAAAACGCAAACAATTACTTTGCGCTCCTTAGTTTTTAATACATATCTGATATTAACTATTTTTCCTACATATTAATATGTTGTAAATTCAACACCAAATTTCCACTGTATGAAAATTAAAGGAAAAGAATCAACAACTCACCTTTTCGCCAACGAGAACGTGCATCGCCTCTTTCACTTTCGTGAAGCTTCCCTCGCCGATGGTCGGGCCGAGGAGATAGGGTCCGAGCCGTTTCGTGTGCTTGTAGGAAGCCATCAACTCTTTCGACAACGCCGATCGCCCGACGACCGTCATAACGCCCTGCAACTGAGGCCCGTAATTCCTCCTCGTGGGCATCGACGATGTCCGCTTGTTGATCGATGACCTCGGCCTGGTCGCGACGTACTGGAGGGGCTTCAGAGCCGACATACCGCGACGATGCGGTGTTGGCAAAGGTTGATGGAAGCGATCGCCTGCCCTTTCCAAACGGCCGATCGTTTCGCTACTGCGATCCAACGGCAGACGACAGGTCAATGACACAATGCGTGGCGTGTCGTATACAAATTGATATCGATATCATAAAATAATCTCATTAATATGCAATATTTACAGTGGGTATATTAGGTGAGGGTTTCGCCCAGAAGACAATGCGATATTGCCATGAGTTTTTATCTAGAACAGGAAGACCTTTCAGATCATTCGACTAGGGAGAAAAGAAGAGTGAGACATAGATGAGAGAGGGGCAGAGATTGACAGAGGAAGAGAGAAAGAGAGAGAGAGAGAGAAAGAGAGAGTGAGAAAGAAAGAGAGAGTGAGAGAGAGAGAAGGAGAAAGAGAAAGAATGAGAGAAGGGTTTGAAAAGGAGATAAGAGAGAGGGAGGGAGATGGAGAGAGGGGGAGAGGAAGAAAGAGAGAGAATGAGAGAAGGGTTTGAAAAGGAGAGAAGAGAGAGAGGGAGAGAGGAAGAGAGAGAGAGAGAGAGAGAGAAAGAAAGAGAGAGAGGGAGAGAGTGAGAGAGAGGGGGAAGAAAGGGGTAGTGGTTTCGGAAGACTGAAGTGAAAGAGATGTCCATAGCAACCGGATCACTTTCAAGTTTGTCGACAAGGTTGTCATTGTATCGGGTTTTGAGCCAGTCTTTGAGGTTTGCTATCAAAGCAATAGGACCTATATCATTACTAAGATTTCATTACTTTACTAATAATCAGAAGATTGTAACGAATTCGACCCTTCCTTATGTCCAATAAGTGGCATTTACGTACCCTTGTCCTTGTTTCCCGAACTGGTAGTGCTGATGGTGAGATGTCGGTATACTTATACATTCCAATTTGTCCAAGTTCATGGAGTTGAAATAGAGCAAATTTTATTTGAACAAAAATGTAGAAAGAGATGATGGGTATATATTTGATTGATTGATTCGAATTTTTTCCATTTCCTATATCAATTGTTTGCACACTAAAGAACATAGTTGACAAATTAAGTTTAAAATTATGAAATGAAACAGGAACCTACTGGAAAGCATAGCTTGTTTTTGTAGGTTCCCAAGAATAAATATAATATGAACATTATTTTCATCAATCATATTAAATTGTCTTAATAATCACAGTAAAAAATATATATTATATAATAACATATTTTCATAAACTCTTTTAAAGTGTCTAAATAATCGAAATATACAAAAAGATCAGAATTACAAAAAAACGGGACACAAAGGACAGGAAACTGACGTAGGAAGATAAGACAAGACATGACAAAACAATTCAAAACATGACAAGATAATCAAGACATAACAGGACAAAACAAGACAAAAACAAAGACAAGGCTGCATACTACAGAAATGTAACCATCCTCACACCGACAATGTAAAACAAACTTCGTTTCATTTCGATTCAGTTGACGACAAACAGTGTTTCACATAGTACTGATCTCGTGTGCATTCTGTTGATAAAGCAGGTCCATATTTTTGGAACGATTTTAGAGAAGTGTTGAGCGTATACACCCAGAGGGCGTCAATCCTAGCCGGGGTTCTCAGTCATGTACTGTAAGCATGTGTGACCACAGGTGTTCCTGAAACCCTCTACACGAGGATTTCTTCTGGAACCAAAATACATCTATAATGAGGATTTCGCATGTTTTTTTCCCGAATTCACACCCTAAACGGGTTTTAAAAAAAGTGTACTCCTAAACAAGTATTGTAAAATTGTAACCTCTTGAGCATTTTGAAGTGCGATAGGGATTACCATTTCAGTTGTTGACAATGTAAAATAAATCAAATTGCGCTTCTGATGTAAAGTTCACAATGTAAAAATTTATTTCAATGGAGAAGCGATAACATCAACCTGTACACTTCAAAATAGGTTTAATGCGCAGACATCATAAGTCCTTTCTTTAAAAAAAAAGAATTGCCTTTCAAATTCGATCTAAAGTGCATGTAGTGTTTACAAAAAGTACACAATGTACAATGAACAGTTCATATTCTACTATGCAAAACAAAGTATAATGGACCAGCTATCTGCGTGAGACTTGGTAGGTCTGGGTCGGTATCGTGAGCATCCATCTTGATCTACTGAAGATCTAAAGAGCGACAGACGCAGGCGGTGGCCGGAAGTCTCGCCAATGCGCATTATCACCACTCCCCCCCCCCCTTTTTTTTTCCCCCTCCGGTCTGGCCCTGGTGGCTAGAAAATTACCATAAACGCGTATACCGGCGCGTACAAAAGAAAACCGAGAACTATCGATGTTTTATCCTAATTTAATCACAATTATGATCAATAAATGGCACATATTTTTAAAGCTTAGATCCTACTCTTTCATTTGATGCAACTTATATTTCACGCCTGAGTGATAACAATCTATTTGAAGAGAGGGAAACAAAAAGCCATTTGGCGGACGGTATCAGATTTTTCAAAGAGAAAATCACATTTTCTAGAAAGTTCATTTTCTGCCCTTTCATAAGACACCTCAATCAGGAAAAAACGAGCTAGGAATAACAAAGTTCTGTTTGTTTAAAATGATGCTTGCATTTTCATAATGTTATTAAAAGGATTCGTTTTCCCTGGTTGCCTGCCGTAGCAACAAACAGAATTGACAAAAGACTTAACTCTGTTTCGTTGACGATCAGACATAGACGAAAGACATCATGGGGGAAGGGGCACTTATTAAAGGTGTTAAGCAGCGCTAATAAGAATGCGGTTTCGGTTTTCGCCCCCTCCCCCTCCCCTCCCCAGGAAAAAATAATTAATTACATTTATTAATATATAAATAAATAAACAAATAAATGTACAGAGGAGGCAGCTTGAAAGAAGAACTTATCAGAGAATTGCAGTTTGATTGGAAAATATAACCGAAAGATAAAAGTGTTTCATATTGCGTTATGCGCAGCTAATTGTTTTTATGACTTCTTGTATTATCTTTCAAAATACACAGTACTAAAGATCGTCACTTGCATGATGGCTTTCATTTATTGCCTCGTGATCTCTTCGGAGTAAAGGGGGCGCTAGACCAGTATAATGTACAGGTGAGGGCTTTAAACACGTACTAAAAGAGCCGATATGAAACTTTGTAAACAAGAATAGAAAATTATCTAACACGGAAAACAGGTAGGCTTCGGGGATTGAATTGTGTATGCGTTAATTCGTTTACAGAGCCAGGTGATTTTCAACATATTTTGAGACGGTCCCTGCTTGATCTGTCAGTCATAATGGAATTTCGTACAGGTGTTCGTACTGGTATATGCACACAAGCCCGATATTAACATTTATGGAATTCATGTTATCTGCAGCCTATTCATAGTCGCGTGGCGTATGTATATTTCTTTTTGGGTCCCGGACGCGAAATTTTTTTTCCTACGAACTTTGAGCTCGCGAGGGGAGGCTGAAAGCACGTGCTATTTTGTTCTTGCACATATTGATTGGCTACGGTAAAGACACGTGATAATCAAGGTACAGCAGATTAAAGTCGATTGGTTTGCACTGATAAAATCAGGGTAGTTGATTGGATGCAGTCTCTTTTGTTACGTCTCATCGTTTAGTGACTTTAGAAAAAATCGTCCTTGCAGTCAGTGTCGTAATGAACAAAACCTTGGGGATAGGAAGTTGCACGTTGATCTGTTCAAGTTCTTACTTTAATTGCTAACTTTAAAATTATTTCAATACATTATTTTGCAAGATAAACAACAGCGGTAGTTAATGAATCGTTAGTTATTCTGTTTACGGTTACACCTCATTCATTGCAGGGCCGGGAAATTTGGGGGTTTTTTTTCTTCAAAATTACAATTTTAAGACGGACGTATTTTTTAAAGTGCGTATATGTTAATGTGTTAATTTGTACGTTTCAGAATACTTCAGCTTTATTTCAATTTCATAATGACATCATTCAAGTTTTCCCGCTAGGTTTTAACTTGCAAAATTGCACGGACCCAGTTTCCCTTTCTCTTCATTTTGAAGTCCTCACAAGTGTTCAACGTTGTACATTTCCGTTTTTTCGGCCAAGCAGATAATTTAAGAGACTGTTAAAGATTCATGAGGTTTTAACAGCAATTTGTCGATTTTTAAATCTTGCAATATTTTCCTCACTTAACTTTTGGGAGTCGAAAACTTGTTCGGGTAGGGAAGGTTGTTTTTGTAGAACCCCAGCAGAGAATTTTGAAATCAGCAATTAATATTTGGTCAACCATCACATCATTGCCCTATCACGGTAATCGTTACCTTTTATTCTTATAAATGTATTGAAACACATTTATACGGGATTTATATGGGATAAAAACAAGATCATGGTTCTGATTAAGGACATACAATAGTATAAAGGGGGCACTTGTCAAGTGAAAGGGGTAACTCTCAGATTTGAATAGGCCTAGAGCCCGCCCCCCCCCCCCACTCAGTGTTATTTAGGGTACGCATATGCGTGTTCCAACCGACCCCCCCCCCCTTTCAGCAAAAGTCCGGTGTGTAAACTCAATACGGCTCGACCTTTTTCTTTTGTATACGAGCCTTTTTCAGCACCCCCCCCCCCTTTTCAGCAAAAGTCCGGTGTGTAAAGTCAATACGGTCGACCTTTTTCTTTTGTTACGAAAAGGACATTTTGGCAACACGCATGGGGTCCGTCCGTTATCGGAGTGGGGGGGGGGGAGATTTTATTGTCCATAATATAATACAGAAATTTGTCTTCCATTGGTGTAACATGTAATATATAAAACATAAGACAAAAACATGGTGTCGTGTGCTGAAAGCCAGAAGGGCGTCAAGACTCTTTCGAGAAAAAGTCTATGAGCAGATACGGTCCTCCGGCTTTCAGCCCAACACATAACAAGACAGATTATGACTTATACATAGCAAGAATTCTAAATTCAATTCTGAATCACATCATGAATAAATTCAGGTAGGAATATAAATGTGAATATGAAAGTAGAATAGGAGCAGTAATGCAGTATCACG